TCAAACCTAACATAAAAATACGCAAGTTTAGCGTTTCTTTGGGTCTTCATTTCCCTATGAAGGCTCTCATATCACGTAAAACTTACGTTAAGTAAATTTGTATGCTTTTCTTTTGTTAAGGTGCCTTTTGTTATAGGGGCCTTAGTCATGAACCTAAGAAAGTTAGAGGAAAGATTTTTTTTTTAAATCCTTACATAGGGGAGTGTCAGCTTCCAGATAATCTGCTTTCTTAAGACTTCTAATAAACCTTACACAATGCAGTGGGGCAGAGCCTGGGCTGGAGGGCATTTGCAGGCAAGCCCTAGTGTTAGACTCACAGCTTCTCATTCCTTCTGCTCCCCAGCTGGTCCTCCATGTCAGACCCCACACACTGAACATGCGGAGAGCTCATGACTCACTCTTGGCTTGTGAGTTTCCATTTCAGTCCAGGCTGCTTCTGCTTCTTTCAGGAGCTCTGAAGTTTCCCATGCAAATTGCACACCTGGTGCTCTGCCCCATAGACTCAGAATTTCTCAGGTGAGTAGCAGATGAGCAGCCCTATTTGGGAGGTTCAAAGGACATTTACTTAGTGTCTTCTTTTACATCCATTGACATGTCTGATTTGCTTTTCCTTGGCTTATTTCTAAATCACTTCTTTATTCCTCAAGTGGAGATTGGAAGAGGAAAGAAGGAGCCCCTACGCCTCAATAGTGTCATGAAAATCCACCAGCTTTCTGTAGGATAATCTGCAGATGAATATGTAAGAGTTGCTTGTCACTAAATTCTCCTGTCGTTAGAAGCCCAACTTTTCTGTGCCCCGCTTCAGATGGATTAAAGACTTAAACATAAGACCTAACACCATAAAAACCCTAGAAGAAAATCTAGGCAAAACCATTCAGGACATAGGCATAGTCAAGGACTTCATAACTAAAACACCAAAAGCATTGGCAACAAAAGCCAAAATAGACAAGTGGGACCTAATTAAACTCCAGAGCTTCTGCACAGCAAAAGAAACAGTCATTAGAGTGAATCGGCAACCAACAGAATGGGAAAAAAAATTTGCAATCTACCTATCTGACAAAGGGCTAATATCCAGAATTTACAAATAATTAAAACAGATTTACAAGAAAAAAACAAACCCATCCAAAAGTGGGCAAAGGATATAAACAGACACTTTTCAAAAGAAGACATACATGAGGCCAAAAAACATATGAAAAAATGCTCATCATCACTGGTCATTAGAGAAATGCAAATCAAAACCACATTGAGATACCCCCTCACACCAGTTTGAATGGCGATCATTAAAAAATCTGGAGACAACAGATGCTGGAGAGGATGTGGAGAAATAGGAACACTTTTACACTGTTGGTGGGAGTGTAAACTAGTTCAACCATTGTGGAAGAAAGTGTAGCGATTCCTCAAGGACCTAGAAACAGAAATTCCATTTGACCCAGCAATCCCATTACTGGGTATATATCCAAAGGATTATAAATTATTCTACTATAAAGACACATGTACACATATGTTTATAGCGGCACTGTTTACAATAGCAAAGACCTCGAATCAACCCAAATGCCCATTGATGATAGACTGGATGAGGAAAATGTGGCACATATATACCCAGTTCTCAATTACTACCATAGTCTGTTGTACTCATGGCTTCCTGGAGAACTAAAGAATCAGCAGGAGCTGACTGGAATTTTTCCACTGCATAGAAACAGCAGGGCGCGTGTGTCATGACTGAGTGTGCTGCTCCCTCGCAGTGACTTGTGTCAGACTAGGGTGTGTGTGTGTGTGTGTGTGTGTGTGTGTGTGTGATCTTCTATTTCTGATTATGCCCTTTCATTACCCCCACCCCAGAATTAATTTCCCATCAAAATACTGGAGTGAAAAGGGATAGGTTAGTTAGAGGTTTTAAGCAAATGGTTTACCACCACAGCTCATTGGCAGCAATTAAAATGCAAATCCTCTCACTCAGTAGTAGGATGGAGCTTTGATGTATCCTTTTGTAGGAGGGAAGAATCAATAGCTGACGTGGTAATCGGGGCTCATCAGAAGAAATTGCTTCATTTCTATGCTCTCAGGCAGTTTTGTAGAGCACTGAATTTTGGGAAGTAGAACCAGGGCACTGGAAGAAAGAGCGGGGTCTGCCCGATCATCCTGTGTGCTAGGGAGAGAATTCCCAAGCACAGAAGGCTTCTTTCTGTTTGCAGCAGCCTCTTGCCTGACTGTATTTGAGTTAGGATAGAAACCCCAGTTCTGTTCAAAGAATGAACGTCTGAGGTCCTTCCCTAAAAATAAAACTGCCTGTGTAAAAATTACAAATAGAACTGCCTTTATAGGACTAACAAATTAGTCATAAGATTAGAAATTATGGCTTAGGAATTATGCAACTAGAGTCCACAAGATTCTAAACCATCCCAATTGCTCCTAAAGGATAACGTCACTATTGTAAAACGTAAGATTAGTGCTCGAGCTATTTTGCAGACCCTGTATTGGAGGGATCAGCTGGTGCCACCCAGATCCATAAACTGGCTCACTTGGTCTTGTGGCTCCCACTCAGGAACCGACTGAGCACAACAGGACAGCTTTGACTCCCTGTGATTTCATCTCCGACCTGACCAATCAGCCCTAGCCCTCTACCTGCCAAATTATCCCTAAAAAACCCCGGTCTCCAAATTTTCAGGAGACTGATCTGAGTAATAATAAAACTCCCATCTGCCATCCAGCCAGCTCTATGTGATTAAACTTTCTCTATTGCAATTCCTCTGTCTTAATAAATCCACTCTATCTGGGTGGTGGGCAGAATGACCCAAAGTGTGGTTACCAGAAAGCATAATCAGAAATCCTGAGGGGGGCTGCAGCTTGAGAACCTGTCCTGACGCAGGTTCTCCTGTATCAACTACATTCTGCAGCTGGGGATTTTTCAGCTAACTTAAGACATTCTGAAGATGGTGAGTTCCAAATGGGTCGTGAATGGATTTAAGTTATAATTTAAAATTTATGTCAGGGAGCATTTGTGTCAAGAAATGAGACAAGGGTGATTTATGTGAATTCTCTAAGAGGAAGGATTTTTGGTCTAGAACTATGTTGTCCAGTACTGTAGTGGTGAACCACATCTGGATAGGGAGCATTTGAAATGTGACAGTCCAAATTGAGGTGCGCTATGAAGATGACCTGTAAATTGGATTATAAAGAATTAGAAAAAGAATGTAAAGTAACTCATGTAATTGTTTAATATTGATTTCATATTGATACACAATTTTGGATATGTTGGAATAAAGTAAAATTAACTTCACTTTTTTTTTTTTTTAAACTTTGTGGCTCTAAGAAACTTGAACATTTTAAATGTGGCTCATGCTGTATTTCTGCTGGACAGCACTAGGCAGGATTTCATCGTAATTCTGTCTGCATAAGGTTCCTTTCTCCCACTAGAGGGAGGTATGTTCCAGCCTCAGGAAATCTGAGGTTAGTGTGTAAATGTCCCTGCTTTTGAAAGAACACTTAAAAAGGAGGCAACAAAAAAGGAGCTTAAGTTTTTGCTTTCTTTTAATCCCGTATAATTCTGACGTTTCTAAAGGTTGCACTTTGTGGACAAGTAAAGCCAAAACAGAAGAGGGAAGAGGCAGAAAGTTTTTCTACCCTCTTTGCCTTCATGAATTCAGATTCTTTGTTGGATTTCTTTGTTGGATCACAATAACTTGTCATTTGTTCACCAGCTGTTCTCTTGGACTTGAGTCTGTGTGTAGGGCAACACACATATAGGTGTGCACACACACGCACACACACACATGCGCACACACAGTGTGGTCTTGCGTGCAGCTGTTGCAGAGAGGACCAGTGCCCTACTGCAATCACACACTTCCATGGCACTCCCAGACCACTTGGCGTGCACCGCAGCTGGAGCTCCTGGAGCTGTGCCCTGTGTACCCTTGGCCAGTGTGCCTGCCTCCCTTTTCTGTTTTTCCTAAGTGCTGCCTGTGGTCTGAGGCTGGGGTTGCTGTTTGCATCTAACGTGTGTAAATCTGCCCCTTGATCCTACTCTGAAATCAGCATTAGTTCATGATTATATTTTAGTGACAGCTCTCTCTCTCTCTCTTGGGTTTCCTTCTGGGTAACTCCTTTTTGGTTTTTGTAGTTTTTATACTTTGGTTGATCTGATAAGCATTCATATTTCCCCATTCTTGTCTATGTACTCTTTGTCCTTTTGTGGGGGAGGGGTGAATCTCAGCCCTTCTGGTGGCTCTGTCCTACTCTTAACTGAGAACTCCTAAGTCTTTATCTCCAGCTTAGAGCATTCTTTTGAGCTCCGCTCACACCCATGCAGCTGCCTACAGGACATTGCACAGACCTCAGCATCGGCCCCCACAGCATTCCTTTCTGCTTCATGGCACCCATCAGCACTATCGTAGTTTCTTATTATGTGTTTGTCTATCTTCCTTGGTACACAGTAAGCCCCAGGAGGACAAAAGCCATGCTAGTGTGGTTCCATTTCATTCCTAGTATCTTGTACTGTGCCTGGTACAAGCAGTGTTTGCAGATTTTATCTGTCATCTCAAATCAACTGGTTTACTTATAAACATGCTTATTACCATTATATGAGTATCTTAGGATATTTTGTTAGCATTATATCATAGCAGCTCTGATCAGCATAGTTTTGTGCATAGTCGATGTCAGCATTTCTAACAGCGTATGCGCGTGGGGCATTTGCAGTAACCCTTGCCATGTTTTCCTGTGTTGGAAACTCTTCTCTGTTGATCTTTCCTTTTGTGACCCTTATTACAAGCCAAATTTCCGTCAGTGCCTCTACGTATTTCCAGGAACTTAGGTCACAGAACACTGGAAAGAAAGGTCAAGGAATGTGGTATGTTTCCGTGCCTGGAGTTGAGTCCACCGTCTGCTTTTCCAGGACACATTCCAATTCTTTTAGTGCTCCAGCCATTCAGCCAACCCAGTTTTGTTTAGCTTTGTGACTAATGGAGGCTGTTTTTTTTTTTTTTGTTTTTTTTCTTTTTTGTCAGAACATGAAGAGGAACTGGACCAGGAATTTGAGCTGGAGACTGACAGTTTATTTGGAGGACTAAAGAAGGTATGAAGTGGATGAATAATAAATCTTCTCAGTTTTCAAACCTGATTTCAATATTTCACATCATGTTTGTATTTGGAGGAGATCCAGGTATCACATTCAGCAACAATCTGGAATTCAGTGCTCTGTGTGCTGTAAAGGTGTGAGTGTGCTGTGCTGGGGAAGGCATTCACAGGGTCTCCATCTTCTTGTCCCCTGTTCTCCTCTGAAGATACCAGAAATCTGATTAACCTTATCAGGTAGGACAGTTTTCACAAAGCTCAGGAAGTTCCTTCTTGATCTAGCCAAGTCCATTACCTTTTGGCCTCTGAGCACCCCTGGCTGTCCATGCTGCTGCAGAGCCTGCTGGGAACTTCTATCTCTCCTCCTCCCGGTACCGCAGTGCCAGGGGGCTAGCTCGCTTATTTCCATTGGCCCATTATTTTGTCTGCTTTGGTAGCGGGCAGAGTGGGTGCTGTTCTTTCACATACCCATATCTTTCTAGATGTGACCAGAAGCACTTCTGTGCTAGAGTATATATTCTGGGTAGGTACCAGACCCTTCTCTTCCTGTTGAGAGATGCTTGACTACTTTATTCTCCTACCAGAACCCCTGTCCTTCTGAGGCTGGGGTTCTTCTCATTCTTCCCTGTTCAGTTTCTCAGGACCCCATTTCAGTTATAACTTGGACTGTAGGGGGTCCAGGGCCCAGCTCATGTGTGGGCTTTGGGTCAAAGTGAATTATGGGCTGCATATTTGTTTTTCTAAGTATTTTAATGTGTTTTTAAAATGCTATCAGAGCATCGTTTGTTTTGTTTTCTATTTTTACTTTATGTAATATGCCAAATAGATTATAAATTCAATCAGCCTTTGGGACATAAAAGACACTTTGCATTCCAGGTTCTAAATAGTCTGTTTATAAATGAACTTTTTCAAGACAGTTCATTTCCAAGTTGGATACTGCCTATACTATTTTTCTACTATTGAAAGTTGCAGATCTTGCGTGAAATTGTAACAGACATATCTCAGTTTCCATTTTTATTTGCTAGGGTCCCCTGTTCCTTTCTCCCAGCTCTGTACAGAGGCATATAGAAGATGCAAGGCCCATGCTTGTCTGGAACTAGGCAGAGCGCCCCACCCTGCACGGGGCCATTCTTGCCTTTTGTTGCTCTGCCCACCAGATACTTCCGTGAAAACTTAGATGCAAATTGAATTCTCATCCATGGCATCCATTTCCAGATGTTTCTTATTGAAATAAGCCCCTTTTAGGATTCTTAGTAAGAATGTAACGTGGGTAGTATCGTGCCCACTTCAGAGACGAGAAAATTCGGGAAGCTTTGTCGCCAAGTGGAATTTGAGATGCAACAGGAGGTAGCCTTTGTGAGTGTCTCAGATCTATTCTTTAGAAATAAGCTACTACTGGATGTCGTACAACAGAAAAAGTGATTTATTTTTTTCTTTTAAAAATTCAAACATTGCAGATAATACTGGAAATATAAAATTATTTGCCAGGGGCAAAAGTAAGCAAACACATTTGAGAGACTTTTAGCTGAAGAGGGGCTGTGGTGAGGCAGCATGAGAAAGTGAACACAGGGTCAGGCCCCAGCAAGTGTTGGAGCTGCCACAGATTTCATTGTCAAGGGCAGGCTCAGCCCAGCCATGTGTTGTGACTTCTAGACAAAGGAGCTTTGTATGCACTGACTTCCTGGCTCCTGTGCTTCACTAGGTCAAACCCAGTTGCTTGACTCCCTGCAGAGGCTCCAGAGCCCTACAGAGATGACTACTTCTCAGTGCCCTCCACGATAGCTCATGACAGAGCTGGGGGCAGGAGCGTTGTTGCTCAAGCCAACTCTGCCCTCCCAGAAAAGTACATGTAGCACAGACGCGCACTCTGGGAGCACCAAGGATTCAGTCTGTTGCCATCCTGACAAATCTGTCCATCCCTCTGTCCATCTGACTATCCGTTCATCTACCAGTGCTGTGAGCACCTCTCATCTTCTCATCTGTCTGCTGCTCAGCACCTTGCATGTGGGGTGGGTGGTTTGGAGCCCTAGAATTTATGGAAGAAATGATGAGTCCCGTGGACATCCAGCAGGCGACGGACATTGATATGGGTCCTCAGGTTCTACACACTCCTTGCTGAGTATTTCTTTTCTCGGAGGCTGCAGGAGGTGGCAAGCACATGCTACTTTGGTCCAGATTCTAATCAAAAGAAGATATTAGGTGTGACTAGAAAGCATGACCTTCAGAAGAAAGCTCATGTTTTCTGGCCTGCCATCCCTTGAATGTTAGTCTGCAGCTAGGCTGGTAAACCTCAGCACTGCTGACTTTTTGTTGTTGTTGTTGTTGTTGTTGTTGTTGAGATGAAGTCTCCCTCTGTTGCTCAGGCTGGAGTGCAGTGGCGTGACTGCTCACTGCAATCTCCACCTCCTGGGTTCTCCACCTCGGCTTCCTTAGTAGCTGGGATTACAGGTGACTGCCACCATGCCCAGCTAAGTTTTGTATTTTTAGTAGAAATGGGGTTTTACCATGTTCCATGTTACCAGGCTGGTCTTGAACTCCTGACCACAGGTCATCCATCCTCCTTGGCCTCCCAAAGTGCTGGGATGATTGGCATGGCCCACCATGCCCAGCTGACATTTTATTTTATTTTACTGAGACAGGGTCTCACTCTATAGCCCAGTCTGGAGTGCAGTGGCACAATCCTGGCTCACTTCAATTCTCCATCTCCTGGGTTCAAACAATTCTCTGGTCTCAGCCTCCCAAGTAGCTGGGATTGTAGGCATACACCACCACACCTGGCCAATTTTTGTATTTTTAGTAGAGATGGGGTTTCACCATGTTGGCTAGGCTGGTCTCTAACTCTTGGCCTCAAGTGATCCACCTGCCTCAGCCTCTCAAAGAGTTGGGATTACAGGCGTGAGCCACCATGCCTGGCCACATTTTATTTTTAAAATATTATTATTATTTTTTAGAGATGGGGTTTGCTCTGTTACCCAGGCTGGAGTACAGTAGTACAATCATAGCTCACTGCAGCCTTGAACTCCTGGGCTCAAACGATCCTCCTGTCTCAGCCTCTTGAGTAGCTGAGACTACAGACATGCAGCACCATACCTGGCTAATTTTTAAATTTTTTATAGAGATGGGACTTCACTATATTACCCAGGCTGGTCTTGAACTCCTAACCTCAGCCTCCCAAAGCACGGGATTTATACATGTGAGCTACGGTGCCTGGCCACTACTGACATTTTAAATCAGATGGCTGTTGTGGGGAGCTGCTCTGGACATTGTACAATGCTTAGCAGCATCCCTGGACTCTACCTAGTAGATGCTAGCAGCATTTCCTGTCCTAAGTCTTAACAATTTAAAAAGTTGGCTGGGTGTGGTGGCTTGCTCCTGTAATCCTAGCACTTTGGGAGGCTGAGGCCAGCAGATCACTTGAGGTCAGGAGTTAGAGATTAGCCTGGCCAAGATGATGAAACCCTGTGTCTACTAAAAATAAAAAAAATTAGCCTGGCATGGTGGTGTGTGCCTGTAGTCCCAGCTACACCAGGGGCTAATGCATGAGAATTGTTGGAACCCAGGATGTGGAGGTTGCAGTGTGCTGAGATTGTGCCACTGCACTCCACATTCCAGCCTGGGTGTCAGAGTGATAACCTGTCTCTAAAAACAAAAACAGGCAAACAAAAAGCAATTTTAAAAGTCTCCATGCATTGCCAAGTGCCCCCGGGGGCAAAATCATCCCTTTTTAAGAGCTGCTGGTCTATAGCAATATTTAAGGGCTCTGTCCCCACTCCCTTGGTCATGCTAATTTGCCATTCTTACCTTAGCTCATACTGTTCCTCTTCTGGATTGGGCCTCACACCCTCTCTGTTTGGCCCTCACTCACGCTTCAGATCATAGCTGGCTCCCCGTCACGGAAGCATTGCCTGAACCTAAAGCTGGGCTTGGTTCTTATAGTTCATGACACTTGGCTGCCTCTCTACTTCCTTCCACAAATACAGCTTTCAGTGAGAGTGTCTCTGTGCTTTCAGAGAGAGTCCATCTGGAGTGCTGGGGACAGTGGTGAACCAGACAGACAACATCCCTATGCTAGTGTCTCCTACTAGGGATGGGCTGACTGCAAATAAATGAACAAACAATGGCCACAGATTGAGCTAAATGATTTGAAGGCAGTAAATAGGGTGATAGGGCTGCACTGCTTTGGATCCAATCGTGTACTCTATTATGACAAATTTATTTGTAGAATTTTATTTGATGTTGTCCTTTCTCACTTAGCTTGTGGGTCCTGCAAAAGCAGGGCTGGGATTTAATCATTTCTGTATCCTAAATGCCTGGAGCAGAGTCAGTGAGTATTTTACTGAATTTAACTGCAGGCAAGAGTAGAATGCCAGTTTGCAGCATGGAAGTGAAATTCGTGGGTCCTGCGTGCCTCTAGATGGTGGTGTAGGCAAGTGGGCTAAGTGGGACAGTGTGTAGAGTCAGAGTAGGGAGAAGACCATTCTGGGCACAAAAAATCACAAACTGCTTCTGGGAGAAGGGGGCTGACCGTTACCTGAGCCCCAAAGAATGGGTAGGGTTTGGCAAGATCATCAGTAGAGGAGACGCTGTTCCAGTGGTGTTGCCATAGTTAGAAAAGGGAAGGACGTATTAGGGAAATAGTGACTCAAAGTGAAGCTACATTTAGGACGGTGAAAGGGAGCTAGACCTGACTGTAGTCCTCCAATTTTTGGCGATGTCCAGGTTTGGAGGATTACAGCCCGAATCAAGAATGCCTTTGAGCTTTGTCATTTCTTTGGGGGTAAGGCTGATTGTACTTGCCCAGACAACAGATGTGGTGTGGGAGCTTGTGTAGGTGTGGCTGTCAAGGGCTGTTCAGACTCCATATGCTCTGATTTTTGCATCCTGTTTTGCAATGTTTGTTCTTCCAGGCTCTCAGGGTAAGAGCCACCCCCCTCACCCACCCCGCAGGCTCCAGTGTGCTATGCTAGAACCTGTGTGTGACAGGGATGGGGCAAGCCCAGC